TTCATTATATTTTATGTATAGAATAAGCTAATTCCACTAAGACTAAGTATTGATTTACTTTTTAAGTTATTAGCCTATAGTTGTATAATTGCAAAATGTACAAATTAATAAACGTATTTCCCTTTTTGTCTGACTGTTTATTTTACATATTGGTTTTAGAAGTAATCAGAAAATGGATGCGTTTTGCAATCGAAGTATTATCATCGTCACAAGGAATAGAGACATTACAAGAAGACGAAGTTACAATAGCTTGTCACATAAAAGAGAAGTTGTCACATTCTGATGCAATACAATTTGACAAATTATTTTATGAGCTAAAGGATGGGGTATGCTATACATTTTTATTCAGTTTTCTACAATTTTTACAAACTTCAAATGTAAATAAATATCCAGGAATATAGATCAATGTTTCAGTGAAAGAATAAGCATAAAAGTACTACTTGTTAATGTATATTTTAAATATTATTTTATGTTTGTGATTTTATTTTTTAGCCGTTAAAAAACAGGGCACAAATTCTCGTATTTTTGATAAATATGTGCGAAGCCGCCGATCTCCAAAAGAAAAGAATTTTTTCAGTTCCTGACTTGAAACTTGGTATAACACCAGTATCTTCCAGTGGTAATTAATATGAAATGTTTTTCTATATCAAACATCCTTTTAAAACTAAAATGTTTTACGTATTTTGTATTTATTTGGAAATACAATATCTTTTAATAAATGTGTTTTACCATATAAAAACGCATTTATATGGTGTATTTAATTTTTTTTACTTGCTATATTACATATTATGATTTTATATTTAGCTACGACACCGGATTTACACACGTCACCGCAAATCGTATCTGTGAATAATGCAGACAGAAGTACAAGGGATTTTCTAACAAGATCTAACAGAATACTTGGCGAGGAATGTATTTCTGAAGATATACTAGTTCAGGACCTTATATATTCTTTCCAAGGCATCGAAGGAAAAATACTAAAGTTGGATTCAAATTATGGTTTTCAAATAGATCCTACGCTTAACATTGACAGACCCAGGAAACAATCTACATTGAGATTAAGCGAACTCGGACATTTACACAATGTAATACAAAAGGGTTTAGAGAGAATATCAGCTGCTTCGAGTGGACAAGTGGCAGATAGTTTTGTTGCAGCGATGTATTCTAAACTATGTGATTATTACAGATTTATAGCTACTATACAAGAGGAAGTGAATAGGTGTTTATCAAATTTTAAAGATTTTTAATACTATTATGTAATTTATATATACTTATCCATACTCTTATGATTTATAATTTGTTTCAACATATTACAGAGCACATTTACAATTAGGATTATATAAAGTTACTTTGTCGCATTTACACCTTTGGGCATATGAACCTTTAGAAACGTTAAAATGGTTGGCTAGCATGGTTAGAGCTTGCCAAGGTCAGAAAGGTGGTGCTCTCGCCTCTGCAGTATATGAATTTAGTAATTATGGAGATGCGGACGTTAAGAAGTTGGTCAAAGATATCTTGGAAAGTGTTTGCGATCCTTTATACAACATGTTGATAAAGTGGATCGCTGATGGTGAATTAGATGATCCGTACAGGGAATTTTTTATTGAAACTTGCGCTGATATTACTGGAGAGAGAATGTGGCATGAAAAATATCAAGTTCGTAACAGTATGCTTCCATCTTTTATTACAAAAACACAAGCTAAGAAGATTCTAGGCACAGGCAAGAGTATTAACTTTTTACGTGAAGTATGTAAAGATGTTACACCTTGGGAAGGCAAGCACACGAACATGTTTAAAAATTTTACCGAGGAATACAAAGGTAAATATCTGCAATAATTTACATAATATAGGAGGAGTTATTTTATCAAATCTAGAAGAACACGTTCCATCATATTTTTAAAATATTTATGTTCTTTCTAGTTGATGATCTTTTTGATATGGATCCTGATGGTCGATTGCAAAATATGATGGACACAGCTTATAAAGCAACATCAACAAGAGTAGTTGAAGTACTGACAAAACAGTACCACTTTATGGATCATTTACACGCTATTAAAGGATATCTTCTATTAGGGCAAGGACATTTTATTCAACATCTTATGCACTTGTTGGAGTAAGTACGAATATTTGTCAAAAAGTTTCTATTATTTATCTTTTGTCACATATATGTTTCTCACTCCTATGAACGAAAATATATGTACATTGCTTTTTTCGATTTTTAGACTGGAATTAGATAAACCAGCAAGCTCCTTATATCCACACAATATATCTTCCATTTTGGAAACTGGAATAAGAGCAACGAGTGCAAAGATGGATGACTTGGATCTACATGGAAGACTCGACGTAAGATTGTTAGCGCCATCGGAGAACGAAACCGGCTGGGATGTGTTTATTCTTGATTATAATGTTGCCGGGCCCATTGGAACGGTACGATGTTATCAACTTTTCTTTTAAACAATTCCAAAATTAATATATTATATTAGTTAGCTCTAAGGCATCATAAATGTATAAAAAATTGTTTTTTTCTAACCAGTTTATTAATATTTAGATTCTAGAGCCATATAGAGAAGTGTATCAAACCATATTTTTTGCATTGTGGAGAGCAAAACGGATGGAATCTATTTTGTGCGCAATTTGGAAACGTCAAATAACTTCAGCAAAAATGTTTCGCAAGATGCCGGAAGTATTGACAATTCAAACTCACATACATTTAATTACAAGTAGTATGGTTCACTTGGTTCATCAAATGCAGTATTTCTTCTTATTTGAAGTAAGTCTGTAAAATGAAAAGCTACAACACTGATTATATACTTTAATTGGTGCTATCAAGGAGAAAATATTGATCAAACAATTTTTCAAGGTAATCGAATGTTCTTGGGATGCATTTGTAAAACAGCTTGGACAAGCAGTTTCATTGGATGACATAATTACTGCACACACCTATTTTATCGATACGATAAGACGTGGTACTTTCCTCGATGAAAAATCTCAAGTAAGTATTACAATTATTTAACCGTTTATTTATCAAATCAAATTGCTTAATATCTGCGTGACCGACTCAATTTAAAAAATACTCGTAATGTATGTCCTACAGAACATGATTACAGACTTTCATCAAATGGGCTTTACTAGGCAAAGAGATTTTGGTATATCAACCATTTGCTGTATCACATGATTTTTATGAAATTGCATAGGTTTGTTGAACATGATGCACTATCTGAAAATTAATGTTTAGTTCCTCCATAACGTTAAAATTGTATTAGATATGAGGGTAACAAATTTAGGATCAATTTTTCTTTAAAAAAAAAAAAAGAAGGATACCTTAGACTATATTACAGATATCATCACGAGGTAAACTGAATTTTATACGTGAAATTATGAAATTTTGTAAGAGAAATAATCCACTTTTATGTGACTAAATGGTTGTGAACAGGTATCCATTAGACACAATTGTTTGATCTGTCTGGTTTTCCAAGTGGACGAACATAAGGGTGGCAGCACAAGTGCAACAGTTCGTGGGGACGGCGCTCAAAAATTTACAGGGTCTAGGTAAACAGAAAAAACACTTGATAAATGTTACAAAAAAATCAAGTTGTTATATATCGTTTTTTTTCAAATTTGAAAGTTAAGAACATTATTTCTGACTTAGAAATTTCATTATCATGGATAGTACTTTCTTTTAATTAAACTTCAATGTCTCACATATAAAATATTGCGGGCTTTGTGTTGATACCTGTAATATGTTCTTAATAGTAATATCTTTAAACTTAGTTGGATCTAATACGAAACCCCTTTTTTCTATAACAAATAATATTGAAGATAATGGTGTAGTTCACTTTGAATAGAACAAATTTTTTCAAAATTTTTCATTATATAATTACAGCAAATGATTCCAACGTGCATAAAGACTTGCGATTAAGAGAGAGAGAGAGAAAACAAAAACAAAAGTTGATGGCTAGGAAATTTTGTATTTAAGCGTATTCTTTTCTCAAATTGAGAATAGAGATTTCATTAGGTGAAGTGTAAGCAAATTTTATTTACAAGCTCAGATACAATACAACTGTCTTGTACAACTACTGCGATAAAAATGCACCCGCTTTCGAGATGGAATAAAAGAAATATATTAAAAAATTTAAAAACTGAATTATTATAATTATTATAATATATTATATATATAATAATATTATAAATATTAATATTCGATTTAAAAATATTCTCTTTTAGGAACTGATGGATCACCTACGTTCGGTATATGGGCCAATTCTGGATTTACAGAATCTTGAGGAAACATTTCTGAAGGTTGCTACACGTGAATACGAGGCGAGATTAAATGAAAGTAGCACACTGCATTCTACTTTTGTAGCCTCGAATCGACCAGATAAAGCAGACCACACCGATGTAGAAATGACTAAGCGTCAAACTACTTTTTCAAAATATCTGAACACACTTTTTATTCAACTGAGATTACTTTCAAGAACTTATCAGGTAAATATTTGAATGAAAAATTTAATAATTCAATTTAATATTTATTTTATTAAAAAATTTTCCAATTATTATTAAAGTTCTTTACCAATATCCTAATACTTATCTTAGCAACAGCTAGAAATCATAAAATAGTATTTTCTACATCTGTTACAGGACAGAGTAAAGAAATTTCTTATAATGCTTGCATCCGCTGAAGACGTTTCTTTGCAATTATTAAGTGTACGTTTAGATTTTAACGAGTACTATAAAAGTAAAGATAATCGTCTTGTTGTACCACTCACATATCAGCACCGAAGATAAAACCAATATATCATTTTGTGCTACATATAGATTTGTTTCAGTTCATAACAATTTATTTATGTTAATCTGTCCGTACGTTTACACAGAAATTTAATGCAAAGTACAATGTATATTTAAAATGTGATAGCACATTCGTCAAGTATGAAGATAATACTTTTGTATCACTGTAAGGAAAATAAATATGATAATTTCTATATTGAAATGAAACTTTGGGTTTATTTTTAATTTAAATATTTACAAATCACACAATTTTGTAACGATTTCAACATTTAAAAATCTTAAAATCTTGAAGAAAAATGGCAGGAAAGACAGAAAATTCGAAAAAAATTTTAATACCGATGTAAGAAATTTTGTTAAACCTACAATAAGCGTAAAATAAATTTATCACATATTGGAGTAACAGTGTTTTATTAGAATATCTTGTACATAAAAGTTTCATAGTGATATATATTGCAAAATACATTCGATCTTCTATCGTTCTCCTTTTGATTATAAAAATGTTTGTTGCTGGTCTTTAAATGAATATTGAACATGAACACGATACAATATTCTGA